CTACCTACCTACCTACCTACCTACCTACCTACCTACCTACCTACCTACCTACCTACCTACCTACCTACCTAATATTTTACCTCACCTTCCTCCTTAAAAAGGACCCAAGGTGACTTACATAATTGAAAGATAGTATTTAAAGCTAAAAATAGTAAGTCTACAAAATTAAAAACAGCTAGTCTACAAATACTAAAAAGGATCAAACAAATACCACACTAAAAAACAGTACACACACAGAAAAACACCAAAAACACATTAAAAGCAGTAAGGCATAACCATCCATTAAAAAAACACTCAGGCAGCCACTATCTATCTAATTTTTCACCCTCCTTTCTGCTTTCTGCTTGCAGAAGGAGAGCAAAGAAGGGGCCTGCCTGGCCTCCAGTGGAAGGGAGTCCCAGAGTCTAAAGGAGCAGCAGCAGAGAAGGCCCTCTCCTGTGTCCCCACCAAATGCACCAGTGAAGGTGATGGGATTGAGAGAAAGGCCTCCCCTGATGATCTTAGCACCCAGGCAAGCTTATAAAGGAAGATGCGGTCCTTGAGACCCAAGCCATTTAGGATTTCATAGGTTAGCACCATCACTTTGTATTGTGGCCAGAAGTGGATCGGCCCTTTTCTCCCTCGGTTCATAGCCTTGAAATTCGGGAGCTCGCGATGCAGACACAGCCAGCTGAGCCCAAAGTAACGAGGGCTTCACAGACGCCTGATGCCACTTCCCCTTCTTCCCAGCGTGTTCCTGCTCACAGCAGCCTACCAGTTGGCATGTTCGTGACTGTTTGCTGTGCTCCCGGGCAACTCCAGCCCTAGTAAGTCCGAGAGATGTTAATCTGATGACAGATTTCAAAAGAGGTTGGGAATGCAGCCATCCGTTTGTGTTTTGATGTGAAGAAAAACAAAGGACATGGTAAAAGAGATTTGGGAACATGCTTTTTGCTGATCCAGAATAGAAAACCCGTTGGGTACCAAAACGAAAACACTTCCTCCTTCCAAACCCCATACATATCCTTTGTTGAGTATTTCCCTAAATTTGCATGCTTTTGTAGTATTGTAACTCCCGCAGGATGCATTTTCTCAGAAGCTCCTAGAGGGCCATAAAAATGGTGGCTCTTTGCTTTACATATCTAACCTTGTTATTTTCTCTAGAGATAAAACTCCAGGCTGTGATTCTCTCTCTCTCTCTCTTCCTCCCTCCCTCCCTCTCTCACATACACACATACAAATCCTCACTTGTCTCATCCTCAAATGCAAGAATGAAGAACTACAACACTCTTCTCTTCGCTCTCCAAGACAAGAAGGATTTTGGAAACACCCCTGACAATGGAAAGAAGTGAGAACAAGGGTGGTGGGTTTTTTTTTATTATTGTTTTGGAAGGGGGAACAACTTAAGGAAATGTCTGCCAACTGCACTTTAACACAAATGACAGTGATTGCTGTTTTTCTTGTGCAGGCTTTTAGAGACTTGGAGGATCGTTATGGCATCGCTCATGTTTTTTCAAACAACCGGCCAGTTTTTTTCTAGGCTTGCTGTAGTTGTGTGTCTTGTTTCTTAAAGAGGAAACCCACTAGTTTTAGGCAAGAATATTTGAAGAAATAATGGAGACTCACCCCCCCACACACACACACTTCTCTTCCACCTCTAACGCAGAGCAGCCGAACATGGCCGGTGTGCCATCATGAACATAGCGTTCTGCGCCTGCTTCTACCCTGAAGGGGAAATATCTCATTGGGGTTCACAGCTCTTCCTTGAGAAGTCTCATCAAATCAAGATGTCTAAACTGAAGAGGAAAAAAGGATATAGGATATCGGTTCCTGAACCCAATGGCATATTATTCATAAGGCAGGAACTAAGGACTCATTTATTTATTTATTTATTTTGCTGAGGCACTCTAGGGCTCTAATGGTTAAAGGCAATTTGCACTCTGCACTGTAGCAATACATGTAAATACATATTTATCTGCACATATACTCTCATAAGTATACCACACACACATACATATATCTCTATTCCAACATTCAGGCGAGGGTCATAAAAGGTGGGAGAAGCTTCGTTTCATGAATTTTATTCAAAATATTACAGTACTGAACTACCATACTCCCCAAAATGTGCTCCCGAAGACTTCTACTTGCTCCTCCATGAGCACCATTGATTCAGAATGGTCTATTCCAGTTGCAGTTTTTCACTGGATTTCTGCCGCTGCCTCTTATTCTACAGGCAGCATGTAGCCCACAGTATTCAAAACCACAAACCCACTTTGATATTTGTCAAGTCCTATTTTGAGGTGAACCTAATTAGCAACCATCATGTCATTGTGTAGCAGAGATTTCCATAAATCAATTAGGCATTGTGTAAGGTAGTACAGTGGTGCCTCGCTAGACAATGATAATCCGTTCCACTGAAATCACTGTTTAGCAAAATCATTGTCTAGCGAAAAGCATTTCCCCGTTGGAATGCATTGAAACCTGTTTAATGCGTTTCAATGGGGAAAAATTGTCATTGTCTAGCGAAGATCGGCCATAGGAAAGTCGCTTTGCGAACCGCCGATCAGCTGTTTAAATCACTGCTTTGAGAACCTTAGGTCCCAAAAACACCCGTTTTGCGAGCGCGAAGGGAGCTGTCAAAATAGTCGTCTAGCAAAAATCGGTTTGCGAAGCAGGGACCCAACATTGTCCAGTGAAATTCCCCCATAGGAACCACTGTTTTGCGAATCGCTATAGCGATCGCAAAAAGTCAATGTCTAGCGAAAAAAACTGTCATGCGGGGTAACTGTCTAGCGAGGCACCACTGTATTGGCTGGTTGGATAGCTCAGTGAGTTAGGTTTCTAGCGGTGGAGCCAGAAGTTGGTTCAACTTCTAAGTACTCACTACTTAGGGAACTCTGAAAAGGTTCACCATCTGCAAGAGTACTCAAAAGTGATTTGCCATTACCTTCTTCTTGGGGTACCCTGGTACTGTGCAGCTGGCCCAAGGCCACATAGGCTGGCTCTCCTGGGATGCTCAGTGGGGAATTGAACTCTCA